ACTGTTAATAAATTTAAATAATATGTTTTCTGTAGTTTCCTTAGAAAAATAGAACATATTTGGAATCAAATCTAAACTATTCATTTATGATATAAAAATGCAAATAGTAAATCATTCAAAAATAAAAATTTGACATTATTTTGTACATGATTAGTGTACTTTCCCTTGGAATGTCTTTTCTCCATTTTCTTTTGTAACAATACTCCAAATTATTTAAAAGTTTACTAAAGCACTTCATGGCTTTAACTCAAGTTCGTTATAAATGCCATTCTGCAGCTACCAAGATACCAACTACTGTGAAATGACATAATAGTTACATGTGCCCATTGGTTAGCACCTAATCCACGATAGAAGTGCATTCAGGACGCACCTTTTGGGAGAACTGATCTGGATTCATTTCATTGTACTTATTCCCTCCTGCATGTAGGATCTTGGTTATTTTAATCACTTGAGGAGGAATGTTCAGCTAGTGCTTTTTAAACTCTGTTTTTCAGAGGCCTGAGATTCTGTTATCCTATCAGAGCATCTGAGAGAGAAGCAGTTAGTAGTCATCTTCCTTGGAAACATTAATCTGGGGTCTGGGAGAGAATTTTATTCAGAACAGAAAAAGGGGTTCTGTTACCAAATAAAAGCTTAGAAAGCACTGACAAGCTCATGGGGCATATTTTTTTTTTTTAATTGATGGTTCTACTTCTTCAGTTTTCTGAGATTTCCATAGGAAAGTCTTCCTGTTATGAAGCCACAGTGAGACTCCCTTTGTTCTTTTTTTGCAGGATGACTTACTGTCTTTGAAGGTTGTGAGTGTGCTGCACCACCTCAGTATCAAAAGAGCCATTCAGGTCCTGAGAATCAATAACTTCGAACCAAACTGCCTACGAAGACGACCATCTGATGAGGTAGCACATCAAGGGAGGCTCAAGTAGGCACTTTACATGCATGTGCCTGAAGAGCTGGTCTCCTGAGAGCTTTTAATCCAGCCTCACTTACTTCTTGGGCTTTCTTTTCCTGTAACCCACCTTCCCGCTCCCCCCACCCCCACCCCCAACATGATGGTCCACTGTATAACCAAAGCCAAGATTTACTCATCATTTATGCTTTCTCCTTTTAATGGGTGTATTTTTCCTGCCTTCTTAATCCACAGAGTTAAATATCACTATGAAGACTTCCTTTTCCTTTTCTTATTAGTGTGTAAGAAAACTTGAAACGTTGTCATATAAATCCTTTAAAAGAGAATTCAAATTATCAAATACCTTTTATCTTTTATTTTAAAACTTTCATGGGATGTTAAGTGATGGTACTCAATGGGGCAGACTTTTTGGAGTTTTGTGGGTTTACTATTGAGGATCATGTTGTCCCAACATCTAAAGCTCATGGTGATTTTTTTGTTCTTACAGAATAGCATCACCCCATCCGAGGTTCAGCAATGGACCAATCATCGAGTGATGGAGTGGCTGCGCTCTGTGGATCTGGCAGAATATGCTCCCAATCTCAGAGGCAGTGGTGTCCATGGTGGGCTCATGGTAAAGCCCTGTTACTATTCAATTGACTTCTCATTTTGTTTCCTTTTAATCTAAGGAGTATGGTGTTACAGGTCAGGCATCTCCAATCTGAAATCTGAATTGCTCCCAAATCTGGAAACTTTTTGAATTTCCATACCACAAATGGAAAACTTACACCTGACCTCATGGTATGGGTTGCAAAGTGCAGATGTGCAAGTCCAAAACACTTCTGGTCCTAAGTATTTTGGATAAAGAATAACCTTTATCAGTTTACTTGTTCTAATCCTAAAGTCATCTTTCCCAACACTCCTGTACTATTTCTAGTGAGTTTTACTCTCAGGGTGTTTTTATTTATATTATAAAAATCTAGATCCGATTGAAATTCATTCTTCTTGTACTGTTCTCTTTCATGTTGAATACTTATCTTTCATATGATCATGATTTAAAACACTTGCAAAAAAAATAAATTATATCTTTGCA